TGCCGTCGCACCGAAGCGATATAGATACTGCTGAAAAATAAGATTTTACTTTCGACAATTAAATTATACTATATACATATATTATACTATATACTATATACATATATTAAAATTTCATTTTATCAACGAATGAAATGAATTCGGGGATAAATAGTTTTACCATTTCGTTCGAAATTTCACGAAATTATAATTATTAGAGTGTCTCAGTTTAGTTTCTTTCGCGTCACGCTAGGAACGGCTTTAACTGCCTATTTTTATGTGAACATAAAAAGTCTGGACTTCACACCGAAAGAAGTTCTTTTGTCCATTTGGTGGGATAGTTTACTGTGAACTCTCTTCCTCAAGCCATCGATCCATCAATCCTGCAAAATATTACAATCAGCTTGATAAATTGAAAGCAGAAAAACGGTCAGAATTGGCGAATTGACGAGACATCGTTTTTCATCGCGACAATGCAAAATGCTGCATTGGATGGTAAGAGAAAAACTGTCTTTTGGAAGAGGATAAGAAGGCGATGCAGAACGGTTCATGTATAATGCGACAAATGTTATTCTTTTCCTACCGAGAAAAAAGAAACTTATAAACCAATAAATAGAAACTTATATATATATAATTATACTTATATATAAATATACTTATTATATATATAATCTAATATATATATGTATATGAAAAGTAAAATCTTATTAAACGAATGAACTGAATTCTAAATTAATTTTACCATTTCGAAAGTGTAAGTATATTGGAAGATATTCTTCCACTCGATTCGAATTTCACTTCTCCCCTTTATTTATTATTTCCAACTACAGAAACTCACAGCGAGTGGAGGGGGCGAGAAGTTTTCCATTTTCGTTTCGAGAAAGTCACTCGTTGTCCGTCTGTTCGCAGTTACCCTACTCGATGGAGTTGGATTACGACGTGGTAGGTGTTCCAGGGGGTGTCGGCCCCGGGATGATGGCGCTGCTCCCCCCCAGGGTGAACGTCTCGGCCAGGGGAGAGGTGCCCGTCGCGTTGCAAGTGTTCAGGATCAGGCTTCCGTGCTCGGGCCTGGTCAGCGCCGAGATCCCGTTGGCGTTGAGGCTCAACGTCACCGCGCCCCCCGGCACCAAATACAACGACACCGTCCTCGCGTTCAAGAGGAACAAGATTTGCTTCAAAGGTGAGCCTCAAAGGTTTTTCTTCTTCTCGAAAGGAATTCAAATTTAATCGGCCGTTCAAATCATCCATCGGGAAGGGATTCTGTTATTTAATTTCGAAAATATCGACCCCCTTCGAGGTGCAATAAAGGAACGAAAAGAAAACGTTAAACTGGATTTAACGAGGTGATAAGTTTTTTATTCTTCTGGCGGCACTTCGTTCGAACTAAACTGCTCGTGGCTTGCGTTTAGTTTACCGCGCGAAGTGAATGTCCAAGTTATGAGTCCAAATCTAAATAATTTTGTAAAATTGTTGTTCGCGAAACTCTAAATTTTAAAATATGAAATAAAATTAAATATAAATAAAAGAATTATATTTTTCTAGTTATTCTAAAATTAAGTTAGTTATGAGTAGTCTGAATAATTTTGTGAAATTGTTAGAAGGTGCTCTAATGAAAATATGAAATAAAATTAAATACAAATAAAAGATTTATATTTTTCTAATTATTCTAAAATTAAATTAGTTATGAGTCTGAATAATTTTGTGAAATTGTTAAAAGATGTTCTAATGAAACTCTAATTTTTAAAAACGAAATAAAATTAAATATAAATAAAAGAATTATATTTTTCTAGTTATTCTAAAATTAAGTTAGTTATGAGTAGTCTGAATAATTTTGTGAAATTGTTAAAAGATGTTCTAATGAAACTCTAATTTTTAAAAACGAAATAAAATTAAATATAAATAAAAGATTTATATTTTTCTAAAATTAAATTAATTATGAGTAGTCTGAATTGTTAAAAGGTGCTCTAATGAAAATATGAAATAAAATTAAATATAAATAAAAGATTTATATTTTTCTAAAATTAAATTAGTTATAAATAATCTGAATAATTTTATGAAATTAGAAGGTGCTCTGATGAAACTCTGAATTTTAAAATACTAAATAAAATTAAATATAAATAAAAGATTTATATTTTTCTAAAATTAAATTAGTTATAAATAATCTGAATAATTTTATGAAATTAGAAGGTGCTCTGATGAAACTCTGAATTTTAAAATACTAAATAAAATTAAATATAAAAAAAAGATTTATATTTTGCCAAGTTATTCCAAAATTTTTCAATAATTTCATTAATTTATTATAATTATTATAATTATAATATACAATTTCATTAATCTATTGACTTCCTGAAAAATTCCTTTGAAGAATCTTATATTCATCCGATATCGGTAAATAGAGACCAGCATGACCAAGATACACCTACATATCTGTTCACCAAGATTGGACCCCCTTTATAAGATTGTGTCTCTTTCGAGGAATACACAATCAAGAACATATTGAACTAAGCATAGAACCATCTCCATGCCTGGAGATGGAAAGCAATGCCTGTGGACCACCCCGATGGGTCGACCGTGTCGATATATATATTCGAAATCGTTGGAGATATGGAAACGAGTCTGAGTGAATCGAACGCGATTTTAACATTTGAACAAATTGGCCTCGCGGTGGCAAGTTTGATTAGTGGGTTTGGAGGATGGCCGCCGATCGGTTGTCGAACGTTGGTCGCGCAATTTCCACGTGTTCGCGATTAAAACACAGAGGGGGGAGGGAGGGGAACCGAATTCTATGCACGATTTATGCCCCCTTTGTGCGACGCCCACGCGCGTCGCCGACAGCATAATTTCTGAAAGCGCAGAATTTCGCGTATGCGGGCCAAACGTGGCGCGAAAATCCGGAATCACTGATTAAACTTGGCGCCGCTAATTTCGTTTAATTACCGCGCATCGATCCGATCCATCGTTCCGCGTGTGTGCAACTTTGTTAGTTTTGTGCGTCTAGTGTGTCGAATATGTGCGGATAAGTTCCTTTTTTAGATCAGGTATCCAAGATTATTCAATTATTACAGTCGATTTCGTCTTCCAAATTAAAATTTCCAAATTTAAATCTTTGGTACGACTTTTAAGATACACCGTTCTCTCCAAGTCAGAAGCATTTGTAAATATTAGATTGAGAAAGAAAGTTTTCACGGTTTATTTTGATTTGATAAATGTTTAAATTTGATTTTGTATATAATTTTAAAGGGTACTTTTCGCTCTGTGAAAATGTGATGTTTATTTTATTTTCAAATTAGTTTCTCCAATTTCTTATGTTGAAAATATAATAGAGAAGAAATAAATTCGAACAATTTTTCTATCTTAGTTCCACGACTCTAGAATTTTATTCAACCGGAATAACAAAACTTGTTTCTCTCGTTGTCAAAAGAGCATAGATTCCAATGGTTTTTATTTCGATTAATAAACTTTTGTTTGAGATATGTGCATTTGAATTTAACAGTTAAAAACCGCAACAACTTTCCAATCTAATAGTTTCGATATCCGATTTCCCAAGCTGGAGTGCAAAAAGTAAGAAATCGTCGCACGGGACTGGAAATTCGAGAAAGATCGTCGGCGGCCGCGTTTACGCCTCACTGCTTTCACCGTGTTTATTGGAAGAAAAACTTTTCTCGAAGAACGAAGTATTTAATCACATTTAATCACACTTTGGAATCGAATAACAATTACATACTATATAATAATATGATATAATCGTGCGATAATAATAATAACTGTTGAGAACGGTGTGAAACAAACGATTAAAAACGAAATATCGATGCTACATTGTCAGAGAAAAATGTACTCGAATCGCTCCTCGTGCCACGTGCGACACGCGGCGTCTTGTGCAGAGCGACTGTAGCGGCCCTAGTAACGAAACGGTTAAAAAGAACGCTGTTTCCAGATGGCGCCGCGAACGGTAAACTGATTCGAATTCGCTCGAAAGAGAGGAAGGATTCTGAAATTGATCGAAAAAGAGAAGTTAAGAATTTGTATCGTCTTTTTCGAATTTTAAAAATTTTCAATATTTCTTTTCATATATGCTCTCGTATCGAGGAATAAAAGTTGAAAATCCGTTTTATCAGATTTATTAGGACGGTTTTCGAATTATTTTTGAAGAATTTATATATATATATTTTCGTGGAAGGAAGGATTCTGAAATTGATCGAAAAAGGGAAGTTAAGAACTTATATCGTATTTTCCGAATTTTAAAAATTTTCAATGTTTCTTTTCATATATGCTCTCGTATCGAAGAATAAAAGTTGAAAATCCGTTTTATCAGATTTATTAGGACAGTTTTATTAAATTTTCGAATTATTTTTGAAGAATTTATATATATATTTACATTTATTGTGCAAATAAACGTGGACACGTGAGGTAGTATTCGAAATAAATTTTCCTCGATAATATAAACGTTTTCAAAACGGAACAAAACACACCAACGATGAAAAAGCGTCAAAAATTACAAAAGTAAATTACAAATGTAAATTACCAAACGATGAATTCTCCAATTGACTGCTAACGATTGAAAAATGCAATTCCAAGATCTCCTCCCCCTTCCCCAATATCACTAAGATTACAATCATCATTTTTCTCCAAATTTCAATTAGATGCTCAAAATCAAGGGAGATAATTAATAAGATCTCGGTTTCAGTGAGAGAATAATCGAACTCTCTCTCCCAGCTTCCGATGTTTCAAATATTTTTGACGGATAAAAAAAAAAGAAAAAAAGGAAACGACGTGATTCTCGTAACACAGCCACTCGTGGGGAAACATCCCTCGTGCCGGAAATCGACAAGAACATCGAATATCGGGGAACTATGGCAACATTTTGCCCGACAGGTGGATGGAATGGCGGACTTCCCGAGATACGAAAACTGCACTTGTATGCCCTTACACCAAAAGAGATATATAATAAAGGAGAAATAAGGAAGAGAAAAAATACAGAAGATGGAGGATTGAAAAAGAGGAAAGGAAAACAGATTAAGGAAACCGAAGACGAAAGATTTAAGAAAGAGAGAGGAGAAATAAAAGGAGACAAGAAGAAGCAAGTTGACTCTGATCCGGATCCGGTTACCGGTGTGCAGGGGACTACAACGAAACGCAATCCGCCGAATAAAATTGAATCTCGTCAGAAGTCGATGTATTTAATGAAAGAAGAAGAAGAAGAAGAAGAAGAAGAAGAAGACAGGAAAAGGATCCAGAGGATCAAGAGGATCGACCGCGTGGAAAAGTGGAATGGTGAAAGGGAAAACGGGGTGGTGGAGAGCAGCAGAGAAGGGAAAGTGGAAAATAAGTACAAAGACCCCCTCCCTTCCTCCTTCCTCCTTCTTCTTCAATCAGAAATTTGCTTTCTTCTTAGGCCTCCTCTCCTTCTACTGGGTCAGAGGGGACGATTCTTTGCTCTGCAAGGAGGGTCCTGAAGAAGAAATCCGAAATCGGTTTGGAGACCACTCGAAAATAATCGAATCTCGTGTTGGCTCCTCGAGTGGCTCGTGTATTCTGTGTATATATACACTGCGGTTTCTCAATGGGCGGTCTTACGGCAAATATATATTCTTGAATCAAAATTCAGGGAGAGGGGAATTTAAACGATGACACCACTTCCTATTTCTCCAATCTCGATTTCTTCAAAGGTTTCATCAATCTAAGATTTAAATTTTGTAAAATTTAAAATTCACTGAAATTTTATATTTCGATACACGTATTTCAAATATTTCGTAAACAGATACAATTATATATAATTCAAATAGATTTTATTTATTGTTTTCCAGTCAACAATAAATTAACCCTTTGCTCTCCTCTTTCGTTGAAGCAGCAACTTCAGACTCAGACCAGCACGTTCAATGGCCTCACAAGATTACCATAAAATAATGCCTCATAAAATTATAAGAGCTTAGGAACCTGTTTATGAAGCGATATTCTAAAAGAATCGAACACAAATAAATATTGTCGCCGTTGCAATAATCCCAGTGGTGCTCATTGGAGAGCAAAGGGTTAAGAGAGAAGGGGAATATAGACAAATCTTATCATTATGTAACGAAGATATTAAATGTAACACGGAAACACGATTAATGACGGTGGTAACGGATATCATCGAATTTCATTAACTAAAACGATTGCATTAATAATATATATATATATATATTA